AACTTAAGCAGGAATACTAATGTCAGTGCTGTGTCAGGTAGTTGTAAGAGCATGAAAAGGTACTCTGCACCTGCAAAGGTGTCTGGTGTATCACAGTAAAAAACATTGGGTATTCTTTAAAAAACAATTAACAACATCACAAGAAAATTGAAACTAGTATCTAAGCAGAAAGTTTATTTTTTTTTCTGTAAAAAAGTGAAATACTATATTTAGCATTTGCCCAAGTATTTAATTCATATATATCAAACATTCACTGCTAGAAATAAGGAAATTATCTCATAGACAGGATTTGTTTGTTTGCTTTGAAGGTTGCAAAAATCAATTCATGTGTGGCTGACATGATTTCTTGCTCTGAAAGCTGTGTGGACAGTCAAATTTCCTATGGCTGTGAGAGAATTATGAGTCATTCTCAATTACCTAACAAATCTCAAGTAGCTTGCCCTCTGAATCCCTGAATTATGCTCTTATGTCTTTACAGCTAAACTCTTCAATCACAACCACCTAGGGGCTTTGCAGTCTTTGGATGTGTTTCGATATGTTATATGGGAATGTCAGTTTTAGAAGTGGGAATAGCCTTTGTTGCTAAACTATAGGACTATCTGATCAGGGTTGGAAGTGTGGAAATGATGTGCTTAGCATAAAAGCTAGCAGAACATGGTGAAAGTAAATACCTTGTGTTGTGAAGCCTTATGAACAGTGACAGCTTCCTTAAAGTGCTAAGTATTTTTTGTAGTTTGTGAATATGTGAACTTCTAAGTGAATGTTCTTAACTTTATCAGAGTGGGTCAAATGTAAATGTTAATTATGCATTGCCTAGTTTTAGTCTGGTAGAGTGAGGACATCTGTGCCAGCTTCTGTTCTCATAAAACAGTAGACCTGGTAAACCTTATTAAAGGCTCCAAGGGCCAGGTTTGGAAATGGGCTGGAGTGGAAGGAGCCAGATGACATGGAGTGCACCACTCTAACCTGCTAGCTGGCATCAGGGATGCTGCTCAGGAAAAAAAAGTGATTGGCTCATTCTTACCCTTTTTGCTGGTGTCTGCTTTAGGGCACTCACAGAAACAAGGTATGCTAGGTAGACTTCTGGAAGACTGAGTATTACTATTTTTATGTCCCAAAGCTATTAGCAGTGCAGATTTTGAAGGGGAGAATGTAGCCTGAAGAGAAAGATAAAAGTGAATGTTACAATAAGGAATGCAAATGTGCTACCAAGGACTCTTCCATCTCCACCTGGTTTCCTTTGAGCATATCAACAAACTTTATCTGATCTATCCAGACCAGTATCAGTTATAGTTGGCACAAGCTGATGTCGTTCACTATGTGGCACAGCAGGTGAAAGAGCTTCAACTGGGAAGGTATGAAACTACAGTGTGTCTAAAATTTTCTCTAGAGCTGAAAAGCAAAGCAGGTATTAGAAAAACAAAACAATTTGAGTAGTCTGCCTCCCTATTTATTGTGCTAAACAATAAACCAAACTGTCCATTCAAAGTGGAAAATAAAAGGCTTTAATTAAAAAGGAGTTATCAACTTGATAGATTCTGCCTAATATGCATTTTAGTTGATCAAGACAATCTCTTGAGTCAAAAAATTAGCGGCCTTGTTTGCTGTCTCAAGACAAATACAGGTGTTGAATCTAGTTTCATTTTACTAGGATATCATTATCTTGCTAAATGTGCAGCTGCATAGCTAATAAGTGCTGATAAGTTTATTACTATTCAAAACCTTGGTTATAGTGCTGAAAAGGAATTTCTGAGCTCCTGATTTCCAGGTAGAGCAGCAGTTCAGTGACACATCAACTTAGTTTTTAATGTCTCATTTACAGTACTCATGAGGAATTAAAACTTGGTTTTGTTACCAAGGTTAAAACTGAGGTATTACTCATGTGAGAGCAATCAATATTGCTAAAAACATCTAAGTGTTTTTTGAATAATTCATCGAGGCCAATGCCTGCCATATAACTTCTCCAGTGAGCAGGCACATTGTGTAGTGCAACTGGAAGAAGTTGTGCTAGTGCTGAAACTTGAAAAACAGTCCAGTATGGATAAACATCCTAATGGAGGAATAGCAATGTGGAAGCTACAGAAGCAATAGATAGTATGTGCTATATATGTGCAGAAGCACAACTCCTCTGCTTTTCCACCTTAAAATTCACACATCAAGTATCTTATCCCAAAATAATTGGACTAATTTGAAGGTGTGTTGAGGACAAATTCTGCTAAAACCTTGTGTGCTTATTGTAGGTTTGCTTCAGGAAGGGTAGAGTTTCTCAAGCAGGCTGTGGAGAATTAGTATTTGAAAGGTAGATTTCACAAGAAACAGAATTTAATCCAGAATATAGATTTGAAGAAATGTTGCCAGATTAAAATGAAAATAATGCAATGGTAGAGAAACATTTGGTTATCTTAAACTACTATGCTGTAAGCTCTAGATTCTACTTTGTATTTGACACTCTGATGCTTGACCGGGCAGAAGTCGGACATAAGTCAACCCCAGTATTTTCTTGCATGTTGTTGGGTGAACTAGGAGGGCTGCATTCCCCATGGACAGACACAAGATTCTGCATGAACAGGCTAAGTTTATCCCGTGGATGTTTGCATTTTTGGGTGACATCCAGAAATGCTGTCTGTATTATGATTTCAAACAAATGGTCTGCAGTTTAGTTTGGTTTACCTGCCTTAATACTGCAAAAGCATCAGTTGCCTTATATGAGAAAAGTGGTCTGTATTCAAGGTCTCAGTGAATTACTCCAAATTATGGGTTAGAATTTTGCTGTAGGCTGATGGCCTTCTTGGCTATAACCATGCCATAGAAAATGGATCTACAAATGAAAATGTGATCTCAGCTTCCTTATCCTGATACTTTTGTCTGCCTTCACAGTTGTTCTTGAAACCTTCTCCCCTCTCTGGAAACAGTTCCTTGTGTATGTCTGTCAGAAAGGACTATATAGGG